AGATTTGATTTTACATTTTTTATTAACGGTAATATATTCAAAACTTCTTCTTTCGTATCCAAAGGTTCTTTTGATGTTACATGATGATATGTAGAATCAATAAAATAATTTTCGGATGAGGCTGTATGTCTAGATTCGCCACATAACACTTCAATTTTTTCTTCAATTGTAGAACATTTAGCTACAAGTGTCAAACTTACTTCTGATTTCTTTTTAATTAAAGCTAACATTTTGTATATATTGCGAACACGATTGTTTCTAATATACATACACCATCGTACAATTTTTCGGCTTTTAGTCGTTTTTCAACATGGCCTTTAATATTTAGTTTCTCTACAATATTTTTTATAATCACTTTTAAAGAACATCGAAATTTTATATAGTTTTTCGACAAAATGTTTTTATATTTTTTAATAACTTTTTTGCAAAATTGATTTTTGATTTTTTTATTGTAAGTACATATTTTGTGTTTATTTTATAATCTTGCTTATGTTGATTTCTATTTTTAATAACATTTTGTGAATCCTGTTTATTTTTATTTTTCACATTTTTTGCATATTGCTTTTATCGCGATAATTTTCAAAATTCTGTATATACTGCTGCTTGAGTTTAGCGCGATTACTTTCTAAATCTTGTGCATATCGCTGTTGCTTTTTAGCACGATTATATTATAAATTCTGTGCGTACAATTTCGCTTTTTAGCACAATTTTTTTCCAAGTTCCGTGCATATAGCTGCCGCTTTTTAGCGCAATTATCTTCCGAAACTTGTGTATATTGTTGCGATATTTTAGCGCAATTATTTTCAAAATTAGCACTATTATTTTCTAAATTTGGAATTCTTAAGTACAAAATCTGTTCTTTATTTTGATTTTCTAAATTATATTTCGATTTTTCCTTTTCAATGTTTTCTAATTGTAAATTATTTTCAAATTGAAGATATTTATTTTCAGAATTTTTATTTATATGACAAATTTTATTTTTGTTGTATTGAGAATATTTATTAATTTGTTCCATATTAAGATTATTCAATGTTTGAGAACATTGTTTTGAAACACATTTGGTTTTTAACTGACTATTAATTAAATATTTTTTTTTAGATTGTGCAATGTCGAAAATTTCATTTAATTTTAATTTTTGTTGAGTCTCATATTGACGTTTCATACGTATACGAGCAGCATCAAGCTCTCTTGCTTTTATTATTGCTAACGGAAAGACTTTTTGAGTAATATATTGTTGCGTCCTCGGGACGCCTCTCGCTCAGTCACTCACACACAGTCACTCTCACTCGCGCGCGAAATAAAGACACTCGCGTAATAGGGAAATGAACTTTAATATGAGGATCCAATACACGAAACCAATGAAATATAACAAATAGTGCATTTGTAATGCAAAGAAGCTCCGGTCTCGGAAAACGTCCGCACGATGCGACCGCTAGACCAAATCTGTCATGTCTCCCGAAAACAGAAGAAGACCCTTAGTTGTTTAACAACAACTCCCTTGACGACGATCTCCCGGAGGCGTAAAGAGTTGATCCCGCGAAAAGTATCACTCGATACAAAGATGTAGATCCAGGGGCGTAACACGGAGGCGCAACAATATTGTAAATCTTGAGGAAAATGCTCAATTACATTTGTTTCAAAAATTTGTAGCAAATGCAAACACATTAAACTATGATTATACCTTATTTTTTCAGGTTTAATATTAAATAACAACGAAATCGCAAAAGCTATTGCAAAAACACCACAATCGTTACAGTTTGGTTGATGCTGTACGGTAGAAAATTTGATATGACGTTTTTCAAAATTATATGTTGGAAATAATCTTGTTAAGAATTGCTTATGATGCTCGTGTAATTTTTTAAAATTTAAAGAATCGTAAATATATATATCTTTCATGTCATAATAACTGCATACCCAATGTCCATCGAATGGACCTGATGAACTATGTAATATTTGTATATGTTTTTTATCTACTGATATAGGTTGAATCGTATCAAGACATTGCACTCGCCAGGTTTCAACATGTTTCTTAGAAAATCTGAACAATTTTCTAAAAGACGACCAAAATGTTCCATATGTATATCTGTTAACCATTCGCCTTGAATAATTATATCTTTTTTTTTTAGATGATAGAAGTATGTGCTTTTTTGTTACAATATATATTTTATATGTATATAATGTACACAAATTGTTTTATGGACGTCACACTTTTAGTATAAGCACGCAGTATATTGGTACTCTATATTGCAAATCAGTTCGTTTTTTATAACAGGCGCACAGCAGCCGTTTTCTACAGGCGCACAGCAGCCGGTTTTTACAGGCGCACAACAGCCTTTTTGAATAATTTAATTATTTAACTTACTTATTACCGCTTCAGAAGCCGCTAATTTTTGAAGGCGTCCTGGAAAAGTCTTGAAGATCCTGCACAAAAATATTAACTCCTTTTTTCTAACTAACATTATTTAAAAAGAATAGAATCATTAAACGCAATAAATTGTTCGACAAATATAAATAAATTCTTTTCGGACCTATACATATTTTTCGCGCCTATTTTTCCATATGTAAGTTCAAGATTAATTTATATATGGAACTTAGTAATCTCAAACCAAGAGATACAGTTCCGAATAATTAATTTTTCACGCTTGGGCTCTGTTGGCTAATTTAAAACATTATATTTATATTATTATTAATATTCAATTCAATTCAATTCTTTATTCGTCCCCTAAGGGATTGAAGGCGCTTTTGAAGGAGCGTTCCCCAACCTTACAAACTCTTACAATCTTACTTATATCTACTCTTAACTCTACTCTTACATCTAATTTACAAATAACTTAATTCTACCTTAACCTACTTATCTACTACTTTAGAGAGAGAAAGAGCCGTCCCTACCTATCGCTTCGCTTCGGCTTCCGATTCCCCATACATTCTCCACCACCTCATTCATACCTCACTCATTCTCCTCCTCATACTTCCTTCCTCCTTTTCCCCTCCCTCCCTCCTTTCTTCCGTTCTCCCCTCTTCCCTCTTTTTCTCTATTTCTCTCATCCATCCTTCCCCTTCTCTTCCTTCCTGCAGTATTTCCTTCATTCTTTCCCACCAGTTTCCCTTCTCCCCTTCTCCCCCACATTCTCCTATTACATGCTCCCATGTTTCATCTTCTATCCCGCATAACCTACATCTTCTTTTCCCCTCTTCTTCCCAGTATCTTGCCCCTCTTATCTCATTGTTCATTCTGAACCTAACTATCCTTCTCCATCTACTTTCCCCCCATCCCTTTCTCAGGTATTCCGGTAAACCCTCCTCCTTCCATTCCCCATACCATCTATTATATCTCGACTCTCTTATCCTCTCCCATCTTTCCTTCTTCTGCCTTTCCCTGTCTTTCTGTTCCCACCCCTCATATACTTCCTCTCCCCTTCCCTTTTTTTCCTCCATCTCTTTCCCTTCTATTCCTCTTTCTTCCCAGAATTTCCCCTTCTCTTCCTCCCACATTGTTCTTTCCTTTCCTCCCCTTATCCTCTCTTTCATATCCTCAAAACATTTCCTCGCTAACTTCCTCCCCTTTTTTTTTTTTTTTCGCAGTGGGAATCCTCATGGATACCTCCGGCCTCCGGGAAGAGGCCAGAATGGTTATGTGGGACTTCTTGTTCCCCTTGGCCGATCCACGTGTGGAGGCCCAAGACATACCTCACTAAACCCACTGCGGATACCTTCACGGGCGTTAATGGGGAACGGCCAGGATGCTGGTTTCCCATGCCGACTGGCCGCCCCCCCGCCTAATCCCTCCTTGGGAGAGTGCCGCCTTCAGCGGCACTTTCCCTCCCCGCGGATTGCATCGTGCGGGGGTCCTCGCGGTTGCGACGCAGGGCGGTATCGACCCTACGTCGCGCCCTCCCAAAGAGTTTGGGGGGCGGGGTCACGGCTCGAGTGTCCCGCTCGAGCCGCCACCCCCCGCCTCCGGAGCGGTGCTCCCTCCCCCTCCCAAAGGGAATGGGGATTCGGCATTCGCCCCGGAGGCCCTCTCCAAGGAGTTCCTCTCAGAAGGAGAGAAACCCCCTCCGTGGACGGCGTTGCCCTCCCACCGGTGCCTTGTGGCTCCCGGTGAGAGGGCCCCGCGCGTCACGTCTCCGTCATAGAGGGGGGCCCAGGCGTCCCGAGAGACGCGTGGCCCCCCCTCGGTCCCCCCGATTACGGCTCCTTCCGCTCCCTTGGGAGTCGGGATTCGGCCGCAATCAGGGGGATTTCCCGTTCGGGGGCGTGGCCGCGCCCACCCCGCCTAGGCGAGGCGGCGCACCCACGCCCCCGATTCTCGAGAGGTCTTAGGGGGGGAGTCCATGGACTTAATTGTCCCCGACCCCCCCCCGGCAACCTCACCCCGCGTCATACGGCGCGGGTGTCAAGATGGCGGACCCTCCCCGCCCCCCGCCACCACGGGAGAGTGATCTCCCCAATGGCGGGGAAAGAGAGGGCCCACCCCCTCCTCCGCGACTGCCTCTTGCATCGCTGAGGGCGAGCCCCCCCGGTTCCCGCCACCACAGACGAGCGAACTCGCCGATGGCGGGAAAAGAGGGGGCCCGTCCCCACTCCTGTCATCTCTACTTCCACCAGGGGCGCGCCCCCCCCGATTCCCGCCACCACAGACGAGCAAGCTCGCCGATGGCGGGAAAAGAGGGGGCCCGCCCCCCCGCCTATTTCTGTCTCCTCCCCTTCCTCCGAGGACGCGCCCCCCCCCGATTCCCGCCGCCACAAACGAGCGAGCTCGCCGACGGCGGGAAAAGAGAGGGCCCGTCCCCGCGCCCATTTCTGTCTCCCCTCCTGAGGGCGCATCTCCCCCCACCACCGCCACGGACGGGCGAACCCGCCAACGGCGGGAGAGGGGGGGCCCGCCCCCATCTCCAGGATTGCTGCCTCCGTCCTCGTCTTCATCCGAGGGCTGAGAGGCATCTCTCCCAGCCCTCTCCCTCTCTCTCTCTGCCTCCTCCTTCTGTAAGAGCACTCTCTCACAGAAGGAGGAATGCCTTCCATACTTCTTCTCTCTCCACCATCTGTCTTACCACAGATGGTAGAGAGAGGTCCCCTCCTCCGATACTCGCCTTCAGTTCTTCCCTCTCCTCCGTCCAGGCCACACACTCTTGGAGCGTGTGGCCGGCGGTATCCCTCCTATTGCTGCAATGGTGGCAGCGTGTCGTGCGCTCCTTCTTGATGCGACACAGGTACTCACCGAAGCATCCATGCCCGGTGAGCACCTGCGTCATTCGGTAGGTAACACCCCCCCCGGCCCTGCCCAGCCACTGTTCCAGGCAGGGCCGGATGGCCCCGACGGTCCACTGCCCCGGCAGCTGCGGGTTTTGCAACATGCCGGACCAGCTTTCTATTAATTGCCGTCGGGTGTGGGTCCTCAATGCACGCCGGACACCAGCTGTGACGGCCGTTCCCTGCCTTTGTAGCCCGCGTGTACGCCTGTATACTTCGGCGTACATGCGGGCTAGTAATTCTATAGGGGGCACTCCTGAGAGTACCCCCACGGCCGTCCAGCTTACGGTACGGAACCCCCGGCAGATTCGGTTGGCCACCCGCCTTTGCAATTGATGCAGCGCATCTTTTATCCTGCGGGTGGCCTCCACTTTTTCCGCCACACCCCCGTACATGATCATAGAGTGTATGGTTCCGGCGTACAATCGGCGAACCCCTCCGTCCGGTCCCCCGAGGTTTGGCAGCAGTCGGCATAGCGCCATCGCTGCCTTGTTTACCCTCGGGGTCAATTGGCGGAAGTGCTCGCCGAAGGCCCACTTGCCATCCAGGTGGAGACCCAGGTATTTGATCCGGGTCCCCACCTTTACGGGGGTGTTTCCTACCAATATTTGGGCTTCAGGAGGCGCCCCTCTTTTTTTATGGAAAAAGACGGCTTCCATCTTTTGGGGCGCCACCTTCAGCCCAATCCCCTCTATTGTGCGCACGACACGCGCCACCGCAATATTAGCACGCGCTGTCGCTTCCTCCCAGGAGTCCCCCCGGCCATGACTAGCGTGTCATCTGCATAGCAGACGACGTCACAGCCAGGGGGAAGGGCAGTCCTCAGGGTCGTATCATAGGCGAGGTTCCACATAAGGGGGCCCAGAACTGACCCCTGTGGAACCCCGCACGAAACCTCGACCCTGCGCTCCTCGGCGTTCTGGTCTACATAGACCAGACTTCTGTCCCGGAAATAGTCCGATATAATGGACACCAGGTAGGGGGGAATCCTGTGATATTTCAGGGCGTCCCCCACCCGGTGCCATGGCAGGGTGTTGAAGGCGTTCGAAATATCTAACGAAACCGCCAACAACACCCCGCCTTCCCTCACAACGGCTTCCGAGACCGAGCGGACACGCAGGATTGCGTCTACGGTTGACCGCCCGGCCCGAAAGCCGTATTGTCTTTCGTCTAAATTCGGACCATCCCGGGACAGATGATGGACGAGGCGGGCAGCGATGATTCTTTCCAGAATCTTTCCCGCCTCGTCCAACAGGCATATCGGCCTGTACGCCGAGGGCGAATCCCTAGGTTTCCCTTCCTTTGGGATTAGGACTATCGACGCCCTCTTCCACTCCTGGGGGAAGGAGCCCTCCTTGAGGCACCCGTTGTACAGGTGCCTCATGGGCTCGACCATCTCCTTGAAGGCAAGGGCCCATACTCTTCCGTGGATGCCGTCTGGACCTGGGGCTTTCCCCTTTTTGATCCTTTTGACGGCATCCCGGATTTCTCCTCCCGTGACCCCCATCTCTGACTCGTCCCAGTCCTGCTCCCCCGCCTGTATCGGGCTTTGTGTGCCCGACACCCGGGGGAACAGGACCCCTATGATGTTTTTAACGAGATGAGGGTCCAATGACTCCGTTAGTGGTGCCGTCCCCCCTCTTAGTTTATTCAAAACTATCCTGTAGGGACGGCCCCACGGGTCCTCATCCAGGGAGGAGATTAACTCTTCCCAGGCCCTCGCCTTCGCCTGTCGGATGGAGGCGCGTAGGGCGTTTCTTCTCTCTCTATACGCATCCCACGCGTCCTCCAATCCTTCAGGGTCCGACAGCGCGTACCTTGTCTTCCTCTTCACGTTTCTTCTAGCGTGGTCGGAGGACCGCCTTAACTCGGCAATGTCCTCCGACCACCAGTAAGCGTGTTTCGGGGACCGGGTTTTGACCTTGGGCATGGCTACGTCGCACGCCTGAATTATGACGTTTGTCAGCCATGCCCTATGCTCCTCTAGGTCCCCGGTCCCCTGTTCCCTCCCTATCATGGCGGCATTAATTGCCGCCATGAACATATCTGTGTCCAGCTTCCTGAGAGCCCATCTCCGGGAGCCCGCCTCTCTTTGTAGGCGACGCTCTGCGACCTCCTTTGTGGTGATGGCAACGGAGATTTCTATGTATCTATGGTCTGATAACGTCTCAATCTCCGCCGCCACCCTCCACCCTTTGACCATCCTTGCCGCAGGGCGGGTCACCCATGTGAGGTCCACAATTGACCCACCCTGCCGGCGTACACATGTCCTCTCGCTCCCCTCGTTTAGGAGCGCCAGGTCGCATCGCGTCGCCCACTCCTCCACTTCATCACCCCTCCAGTCGGTTCGCGGGGAACCCCACGCCGTTGACTTGGCGTTGAAGTCCCCCGCAACCATTACTGTTTTGGGGTGATGACTGGCGACCTCCCTTTCTAGGATCCTCAACCTCCCGCCGAACTCACTGTTATCCAGACTCGGCGGGAGGTATACCCCTATTACGATAATGGGCCCCCAGGAAGTTGACACAATCCCCTTTTCTGCCCTAATTAAATCTAGGGGAGGGGAGTCGGGGGTGTTCCTTCTTGTAATCGTGGCGAGGCCGTCAGAGCTTTGTACCCAATTTTTATTATTGTTGGGCACCCTGTACGGCTCCGCCACGATACCTAGGCCACAGGATCTCTCCGCCATGGTGTGGACGAAGAGATCCTGGGCCTCCCTCGCGTGATTGATGTTGGCCTGAAGTATTTTATTGGCCAACATCAATCATTTTAGACACTTCTTCTTCTTCCGACACCTCCATGGTGCCAGCGTTTCCCCCCTCCAGATTTTCCCTAAGGCGCTGTCTCTTGCCAGCGCCCTGGTTTCTGGAGGGGGTCGTTTCTTCCGCGAGCTTTCTTCCTCCTTTAGCTCTAGGGAGCCTCTGCTCCAAGGGTCCCTCCCCGGTTTGAGGGGGAGAGACACTCCGCAGAGGCTCCACTTCCATTTGCGCAGCCCCGGCTCCTTTAGGGGTTCCCACCACCTTGCTTAATGGGACACCCCTTCTTCCTTTCTGCACCGGTGTGCAGGACTTTGTAGCATTCATCATCCACACCTTTCATTTACACTCTACACTTTTATTACACCTTACACTTTTCACTGCACTTTTACACTTTTTACATCTTTATACATTTGTAATAACTTCAATTCATTAATATACATAATGTTTTTAAGAAAAATCAATATTTCCATAACAACACATTCATTCATTTATTTGTTACATATTAATTCTTTTTGTTCTTTCGCTTTATACTTTCAATGAATAAACATTACTTTTTCAAAGATCTGGTGAATTTATTTATAAGTCGCTACATTTTTGGTGACCCCGACGTGATATTAAAGCCGACGTGATATTAAAGCCGACGTGATATTAAAGCCGACGTGATATTAAAGCCGACGTGATATTAAAGCCGACGCATTTTAAAGGCTGATGCGGAATAAGTGCCAAGTGATCGTCGTATTTGAAGTCTGCGAAATATTATCATCGCTTGGAAGAATTGCTGGATATTCTGATTTTAAGAGATTCATTCTCCGGATCTTTGAAACATCAGAGGCGGATTAGTCCTTCACGGAAATTCTCAAATCATTTTATCGGATTCCTGGAACAAGAGGAAAATGCCAATCGATAGATCACCAGTTAGACCCTGTTCGGATACACAGATTGATATGGATTTGGCGAGCGGATCAAATCAGGTTGGATCAGAAAATATTAATATTTTACCTTCTCAAACTGGACATCAGGTGAGTGATCCTATGTTACAAATTCACTCAAATGAGTTTCGTTTATTAAAACTACCGACTTTCTGGCATAAACAACCTAAACTCTGGTTTGCTTCTATTGAAAGTGAGTTTACGGTTTATCGAATTCGATCAGATGATATTAAATATAGTTCTGTCATTCGTCATCTTGATGAACAAGCCTTAGTAAACATATCTGAAGTCATTGAAAATCCACCTGAAACAGATAAATATAATTATTTAAAGAAAATATTAATAAATCGCTTTACGGATTCAGAGGAAAAACGTTTGAGACAAATATTAGCTGGAATTGAACTTAATGATAAAAAGCCTTCGGAATTACTTCGAGAAATTCGTCATTTGTCTGGAGGATCTTTAGCAGATAGTGTTTTGCAAATGATTTGGCTTCAACGCTTACCACATAGAATTCAAACGACTTTAGCCGTAGTAGAGGATGTTCCTCTTGTTAAACTTGCGGAATTAGCCGATAAAATTGCTGATCGGGACGGCGGTTTGCAAGTCGCGGAAGTTTCCAATAATGCAAGTAATAAATCTTCGGATTTCGCGGATTTGCTACGAAGAATCGAAGCTCTTGAAGTTTCTCGTCGTCGAGATCGTTCCAAAAGCCGGTCTAGAGAGAATAGAAGATTTAGATCGTTATCGCGTAACAAAGACAAATCAAATAAAGATATTAAAGATACATCAATTTGTTTTTACCATAAGAAGTTTGGTGATAAGGCTAAACGATGTACTTTACCTTGTTCTATGTCCAAAACATTCTTGGCTTCACAGGAAAACTAAAAACGCCGCTTAAGACTGAGGCTGCTTACGACGGTGTTTCTAACAATCGCCTCATTATTTTCGACAGACATTCAAATTTGAATTTTCTTGTCGATACGGGCGCTGATATATCGTTGTTACCTAAAAAGGTTTTATTGAAGCCGTGGCATACTAATTTAAAACTTTTTGCCGCAAATGGTACTCAAATTAATACTTACGGTTCTAAAACTTTAATTTTGAACCTCGGTTTAAGGAGAGAATTCAAATGGAAATTTTGTGTCGCGGATATTCAACGTCCTATTTTAGGCGCCGATTTCCTTTGTCATTTTAATCTCCTAATTGACATTAAAAACAAGAAATTGATTGATAATGTTACCGGTCTTATGAATACTGGAAAAATTCAAGAAGTTGCACATTTGTCAATTTTTACCACATCTCCTGATTCTGTGTACCACAAATTTTTAACCGAATTTCCAGGACTCACCCGTTTTTCTCCAATTTCCTCGGTAAAAACACATGGTGTTGAACATCATATCGTTACGGAAGGTTCTCCTAAATTTTCGACTCCCAGAAGACTTACTCCTGAGAAACTTAAATGTGCCAAGGAAGAATTCAAGTCTATGATGGAGCAAGGAATTTGCAGGCCTTCAAGCAGCTCCTGGGCAGCCCCTCTACATATGGTACCTAAAAAGGAACAAAATTCTTGGAGACTGTGTGGTGATTATCGTGCACTCAATTCAGTGACTATCCCGGATCGTTATCCCTTACCTCATATTCAAGATTTTTCTTCTTCACTTTTTGGTAAGAATATCTTTTCTAAAATCGACTTAGTTAAAGCGTACTATCAAGTACCCGTCGCTAAAGAAGATATTCACAAAACAGCTGTCACTACTCCATTTGGGCTTTTTGAATTTGTCGTAATGCCTTTCGGTTTACGAAACGCAGCCCAAACTTTTCAACGGCTCATGAACTCTTTACTTAATGATTTGAGTTTTGCCTTTTGTTATCTTGATGACATTCTTATTGCTTCTAAAGATGAGAAAGAACATATTGCTCACTTACGCATTATTTTTGATCGTCTTCAACAAGCTGGAATGACAATCA